GCTCTCTCTAAAGCAGCTCGCAATTCGCGATCGCAATTTTCAATTTCTGCCGACTTTTCAATTAGACTAAGAGGTGCCGGTGCCGGTACTGCCATTGCCGCTACTCGTCGTCGACTGCGTTTGCCCAAGCCTATATACCAAACCCAACTCCCCCTGGCTAAAGCCACCCCCTGGCTCCTCTTCTACTCACCCTTCCCTCTCCCACCATCCACCCTCCAACTCTCGGAACCTGGGCTATGCCGACCTACGAGCTTACGTGCCAGCTTCTTCACGGCGAAATCTCACCCTCTCCTCCATACACCCCCTACAGTCTCGCGACTTCTCTTTCTCGCTACCTTCGACGTTTTCCTCTTTCCTTCTCTCTCTATCTCTCTCTCTCTCTCTCTCTCTCTCTCTTTCTCTATCTCTTTACCTCGTTTCTCACCCTTCCACCTTTACTCTGAGAGCAACTCAGTCTCGCACTAGCATACGATATTCGGAATTGAACGAGAACGAGAAGGAGTTGGGACAGGAGGAGAAAGACGAGGAGAAGGAGAAGGAGGAGGAGGAGGATCCTTCTCTCGTCTCTCGCTTGGCCGACCGAGAGCAACGACTCCGACGCGCTCTTCCTATGGTGAAAAAGATGGAACTAACTGTGAAAGGGTGCTACCACGAAAAAAAAAAGAAAAAAAAAAAGAAAAGGAAAAAGAAGAAGAAGAAACAAGAAAAAAAGGAAGAAAGAAAGAAAGAGAGAGAGAGAAAAGAATAAGGCAAAAGAAAAAAAAAAAAGAAAAAAAATCCGACGAGCGTCGTTCGCTTTTTAATCAACCTTTCCCCCCCCCCCACCCCACCCCATCCCCACTCCCACTTCCTACGTGAAACGACGTGCCTCGCGGAGAACCAACGCCGTTCAACGCTTTTTTTTTTTTAGTTTTGATGTCCGAATTCACGATGAAAACATATAGATATATATACCTACTGTCATCGGTGGAAATGTCAAAACGAAAAGACGAATCCAAAGTATTATTCCTCCTGTGATTCTTAACAGGGACAACATCAAAAAGCCGATTTTCGATCGAACGTTTTCCTATTATTACTTCGACGTTGTCAAAGAATTTCTTTCTTGGAAATCCTTACCGGAGGCGGCGACTCTCTTCGTGTTAAAATTTCCGTTCTTTCGTTTCTTCTCGAACGTCGAAAGAGAACGAGAGAAAGAGAAAGAGAGAGAGAGAAAGAGAGAGAGAGAGAGAGAGAGAGAAAGGGGGAGGAGGGTGAATGGGACAGGGAAGTAATAGATAGGTTTGTAATCCATCGAGAGCTCGAGGCGTTTGGGAATGAGATATTTTGGAAGGGTTGACGGTGGAAAGGGACCGATATCGGCAGTCTGCGAATGAGACGCGCTCCCGTCTCTCCGATCCTCGACGTGCCCCGAGGAGGACAGGGTTCTGCCGAATTGAGCCACGATGCATCCCTGCTCAACTCCTACCTTTCCTCCCCCTATATCATCCCATCCCTCGATTCCTACCCCCACCGATCCACCATCCATACTAACACCCACCTTCCCTAACAGATCCCTCCTTCCTTTTGCTTTCATACCCTACATTCTCATTCTCGATCTCCTTCAACACAACGGTTCAGACGATTACGATTGACTTCAATTTCTTTTTCTGTTTCTTAAGACGAAAAAAAAAATAAATTAATTGAAAAAAAATGAAAGGATTTTCGATCATTTCGACTCCAATGTCAGAATAATGAAAATTTTCGAATTCGTCAATGATCGTAGAAGAAGGAAAAAATAAAAGAAAGAAGTGAAATTTGGGATAAGAATATTATCAGATATAAAGGGTGAAACGTCTATCGTCTGATACTGATATCGGCATATATATATATATATATATATATATATATATATATGTATGTATATAGATATATATATATATATAGATTCGATAGTCCCGGCGGTTTTAATGTTCCTACGTGGAACACAAACGAGAATGACAGTCGTTCAAGCACGGTTTCCAACCATCGCTATGCCTCCGGCTAAGATACGGATGGATGGATTCTGCCATTCTTTCCATCCTGATAACCAACCGTACGTACCTTCTCTCTCTCTCTCTCTCTCTCTCTCTCTCTCTCTCTTTCTCCCTCTCTTTCTCTCTCTCTCTCTTTCTCTGCAATCCTCGATAACCATCCAAGAGTTTATGGAAACCGAACGAAGCCGACGGGTGTTATTTTCCTTCACGTAAATCTCTTTGAAATCGCGAAAATTTTATTGAACGTAATCCGAATATAAAGAAAGAGAAAGATCGATTTTCAATGATATCGTCAATCAAGAAATTTCAATAAGATAAAATCTAGATTGGTAATAGTTAAAAACTTTCTAAGAGAAAGAGAAACGAGATCAACGTTATCAACCATAGCATTAATACTCTCTTCAACGCAGATATTCTTTAGATTCTTTCTCGAGAATAGGATCCCCACAATGATACACGCTGAAGAATCGCATTGGTAGTCGCCATCCTCCTCGGATTTCCCGTTCGTTTTCATCGGATCGTAGCCAGAGTCGTCGAGCATTAGCAATTCCAATATGGCCGCGGGCACGTTTCCGGGAGACAATGTCGAAGATTACTGGCCGAGCGAGCCAAGGACGTCAGCCAAGGGTGGCTCTGTAAGCCGGGGTTGGTACAAACAGAGAGAGAGAGAGAGAGAGAAAGATAGATATCTATATAGATGGTACACAGTAGAGAGAACGAATACGGAGAGTGAGGGAAAGGGGAAAGAGATAGGAGAAAGAATGATAGATATAAAGAGAGAGAAGGAGATAGAAAAGAGGCATTGAGCGCGATCACATTGTTCGACACAATAATATTTGTCACCGAAAATAACGCTCAAAAACCGCGAAGGAATAGAGAGGTGGGTTGGTATATCCATTCAGACACAGACAATGCGAGAGAGAGATTCATCTGCATGCCTGTACCCCGAACTCTTTTCCCCGTAACCATTCCCTCTCTCCCTCTCCATCTTTCCCTCTCTTTCTCTCTCTATCAGCCACTACTATCGTCCAACCTGTCACGTGATACGCGCCAAATTAAAAACTCGGTTTCAGTTCCCCGTTGCTCTTTCTCTTTATACCCGTTGATTCACACGAAAGCATTGATATCGGTGACGAGTATTGTCGTTTCTAAAAGAATATACATACATCTAAGATGTTTTTTCTTTCTTTCTTTATTTGATTAAGAAAAAGAGAAAAATAAAAAAAAAGAAGTAGAAAAAAGAAGTTCTGCCCATTGGTAAAGTCCCTTTCTTCGTTTCCATTTCGATCGAGCAGCTCAAAGAATGGAATAACGATGATGCAAGAGAGAGAGAGAGAGAGAGAGAGAGAGAGAGACAGAGAGAAAAGGAAGGAAGGAAGGAAGGAAGGAAGGGTTGGTTTGGTTGATGGTGCTTTCATGGAGCGAAATACGCTTGAGTGAGATCTCGGGATCGAGAAACTGCGCAAGCGAGCGCGCGGGGGTCGTACTTAGTGGAATGATCAGCGAGAACAGAAGGCAATATCGGAATTATTGTGATTCGCGGTACCCGACGTACGCCCGGAGGGCGAGCAATCTATACGGGAAGCAGACATTACTCCATAGTGCTATGGATTTGAATATTGCTCTAGCGATATCGCTTGGGGGGGTCTAACAGTTCGCTGCGAATGGCACATGCGTGCAAACCCATTGAAATATATAGGTATATATATATATATATATATATATATATATATAGACGTATATAAGTCTGTTGAATGAGAAATACATTATCATATTCTAACGATGAATGGAACTAATAACGAAGAAGAAGGAAAAGCTTATATAGTTGATATTTCTCTCATTCGTTCGTTCGAAGGTCGTCGATCCTTCTCTCTTTTTTACAAATGACCGTGCCAGGTAATTTGAAGTTTCGCCAATCCGTTTATATCTACTCTATGACCCCCGGCTAAAAGCCACGAAAGGTAAAAGGGAGGGGATTGAGGGGCAAAATAGAGTCCTACCTTAATTCGGGACATCTTATTTCACCCCGAACGACTGGTACTTCCCCAGTACCGTTCGCGTGGTATAGTCGCGATAGAACGTAAAAGACGAGCGGTACGGGGGCCTGATTGAGATGGAATCGGCGAATAAAAGAGTTGTAAATAAGATATAAAAGAGGGCTGCGTTAGAGATCTACCCGGAGTGACTGGTCGTGTCCTAGGTGAAACAAAGTGTAGTTTTATTGGGACGTAAGGGGAATGCCGTCCCTCAATAATCCCCATTTATAGCTTATAAATGATTTTAACCTCTCCCTCCCTCCCACTCTCCCCATCCACCTATCCATCCATCCATCCCACCTATACTCGGTTGTCGTTGGTGGTCCCCCGTCGTACGAAGGTCCCATTGCCCTTATCTCCCCGTAAAAATGCATTAGCCGGCGTTAAGACCTGCGACACGTACGATAAGACGGAGTACCGAACGACGTCTCTACTGTTAGACGGAAATTCGAGTGCGTGAGGAACGAGATATCGAGTGTGACGTCTTACGTATGTACTTGTCTCTCTTCCACTTACTCTCTCTCTCTCTCTCTCTTTCTATCTCTTTCTCTCTGCAAATGTCCCGGCTTTTAAGGGACTATAAACTAGAGGCGGAAGGTAGTTTTTCCTTTGGTGCTACCTACTTTGGGAAAAGAGAGAAATAGCAGTAATTCTCAGTCTTCTCTCTCTGTCATTCTCACTCTCTCTTTCTCTCTCTCTCTCTCCCTCCTCTCTCTCTCTCTCTCTCTCTCTCTCTCTCTCTCTCTCTCTCTCTCTCTCCTTTCAACGACACTCACGACATAAGTAGTCAAATAGTAAAACTAGGTTGAATTCATTTTCGACCGGAACTACATAGAGAATTTAAGACGGCGTTGTTGAAATGATAAAAAATAATATCAACTTAGCAATTTAAAAACTGCCTAACATATGGATAATTAGAAAATCTATGACAATTAATTGTACATTTTCAGAGAAATCGAATGAAAAGCCGGTGGAGGACCTTTGGACGAAACTTGATTCTGAAAAAATTGTACGATTCGTTCGAAATAGATGGAGATAGAGAACGAGGAGGAGGATGAGAAAGAGGAAGAGAAGAGGGACATCGTCGTCGTCGTCGACGCGTAGAACACGTAGGATGATTGCCAAAAGCGGCGCTTGGCAGGACAGGGGAACATGTCACACGATCCGTGAGTAATTCGCACGAGTCGAGGCTCTCCGTGCTGCCTGTTTGCCTGCTTGCCTCTGCCTGCCCGGCTGTTTAACAGAGTGTTATAATCTATTTACGTTAACATTACCAACGTTTAACGTGGTTGCTCCGCATCCCTGGGGTCAGAGAAAGGGGTTGGCTTTGGCGGAGGCGGTGGCGGTGGCGGTAGCGGTGGCGGCGACGGTGGTAGCGGCAGCGGCAGCGGCAGTTGCAGAGGAAGAGGTGGAGGTAGAGGAACACCGGCTGCATGGGGTGGTGATATCGGGAGTAGTGTTGCCATCTCTCTCTCTCTCTCTATCTTTCTCTCTCTCTCTTTCTTTCTCTCCGCGTGCCTCTCGCTCGCGTTCTCTTTCTCTTTCTAGTTCTGCAGTAGACAGCACTCAAGAATTGTCGTGAGCACGTTAGGGCTTTTGGAAACAAGCGTTAATTCGTGCGGTCGCTCGCTCTCGCAATAACCGCGGCTTCCTGCAAGCCCCATTACCACCACCACCACCACCACCACCACCCATTCCACCCCCATTTCCTGTCTCCCTCTCTCTCTCTCTCTCTTTCTCTTTTTCTCTCCCTCTTTGTGCAACGAGAGGAAGAAGAAATCTACGAGCGCCGGCTCCACGTCGCAACGAAAAGTTTCAAAAGCATGCATTCGATCGGGCTTCTAATTTAATGTCCCTGAACTTTCTTTCGCTCGGTTTAACATTATAATAGAATGCTTTCTAAATTCGATTGGGCAATATATATTCCCGAGAAATGACCCCATGATGACCAAGAAGAGACATCCTGAGGGCAACGAGCAAGAGTAACTTCTATTCTTGGTAGCACGAACGTTCTCGTTAATATACGGTTAATAAAGCTTTGTCATTAGTAAAATGGAGATGGATAAACAATGTCTAGAGAATTAGGTGGGAACGTAAGCGAAATGCAAGCCGTCCCACGTCATTGTTTAGTAGTAGTGTTGTACTAGCTAGCTAGCTAGCTGCTACGTTTCCGGGACGATGGAGTCACGAGCGAGAGTTCGGTCATGAACGGATTACGGACACTCGAGCGACGTACATACATACGTAGGAGCGAAGTGTGGAAGGATGTGGAGGTGTAGGGATGGGGAGAAGAGGGAGAGGGGGAGGAGAGAACGTTGTCGCAAGGTTGCTACACTAGACAGCTAGAGAGGAACACGTACGTTACGTTTGAACGAACGTGCCAACGGAGCTAGCGTGGCCAGGCAAAGAGGTCTACTCCTCATTCTCCTCCTCCTCCTTCTCTTCCTCTTACTCCTCCTCATCCTATTTTACCTCCACCCTGCCGCTGCTCCTCGACTGAAAACGTGTACATCCACGCTCGGTATATGCGCGACAATACGGGCTAAACGCCCGGCTCCGAGAGAAACCGCCAACTAACTCTACGAAACGTCCTAGGAAACTTTAGACGCGATTATCTGGAGGTTATGCCGTAACAATTACGAGCTTGCCACTCCGCAAAATCGGGAGACAGCTAACTTGTTTGCCCTCCGCTCTTTCGTTCTCTCTCTCTCTCTCTCTCTCTCTCTCTCTCTCTCTCTCTCTCTCTACTCTTTTTCGCCTATTGTCCCTCTCTTATGCCGCAAATCATTTTCAGAGGATGGTGACGCGAACGGCGAGCATCTTGATAGACGAACAAGCCCACAAATGCACCAGCTTAATATCTCGAACCGGGTTTCATCACTTGCCGGGGAATAAAATAGAATGGGACTGTTTTCGTCTTCGTTAAAATTACAAATTCCGTGAAACATTTTGGTAGCCAATCAAAGAAATATATATATATATATATTCGTCAGATTAATAAAATGTTCGTCCTGTCGACGTTTTCGTCTGGAAGATCTTTACGTCTTTTTTCTTTTTTTTTTTTTCCAATCCACTTTATTCATAATAATGCGATCGATTTTCTTTCTTTTTTTCTTTTTATTATTTCAGGACATCAGAAAGAAAGGTAGAAGGAAAGAAAGAAAGAAGGAAAGAAAGAAGGAAAGGGTGGAAGGAAGGAAGGAAGAAACGATGAGCTGCCGGAACGATAAAAATCCTACCCCCGTGCACCAACTGTAAAATTTTATGGTCGCGAGAAATAAAGATGCTATCGCAAGCGCTGAAACACAGGGACCCCCCGTTATCGGTACTCCGCGAAGGAGGATACTCCAAGGGGTGAGGTGGGCCAAAGGGAGAACTTTAATATTTGCCAGGTTACGGATTTCTGACAAACAAACGAGAAAGAGAGAACTAAAGAGAGAGTGAGAGAGAGAGAGAGAGAGAGAGAGAGAGACAGAGAACCACTCAATGCTTCGAGGTAAACCGTTCGGTGACGATAAGCGAAAAGGAAAAGGGAGAAGTAATGGTAAAGGGAGGAGGAGGAGAAGGAGGAGGAGAAGGAGGAGGAAGAGGAAAGCCAACGATACTGGGACTCGACAAATAAAATCTGAACAACCTGCTGCTCCGTTGTTTACCAAAGGATACCTGCCTGACATTAACGGCACGGGACGAAGGGGGTGAAACACGGAGAAGACCAAATATGCTGCGATAACGAAACGAGTCTCTCTCTCTCTCTCTCTCTCTCTCTCTCTCGCTCTCTCTTCTCTGTCAGAGTCAGCAATTTTTTCTTTTTTTTTTTCTTTCCTTTTTTTTTCTTTTTTTTTTTTTCATCGAAATAAATCCGAACAATGTGCACTCGTTTTTATCAGTGACAGTCAATACGAATCGATAAATCTTAAATAAATACGTACGTAGTTAACATAAACGACACACACATATATATATATATATATATATATATAACATAAATATATAACTTAGGTATATAATGATAATAGGAATTTAATTTTCATTAATATCCTTTATCATTAATGATTCTTTATTTATGTACGTCACAAGATAGATTAAATTTACGATACTAATTTCTACTATCTTTTCTATTCCTGTTTTTCTTTCTTTTCTTGTCTATCATCATATCTCTCTCTCTCTCTCTCTCTCTCTTTCTCTCGAGGAAAAATAATAACCGATAAAGAGGGAAATAGAAAGAGAAAGAGAAAGAAAAAGAGAGAGAGAAAGAGAGAGAAAGAGAGAAACAGATAGATAAAAGAGAGAAGAAAGAGAGAGAGAGAGAGAGAGAGAAAGAGAAAGAGAGAGAGAAAGAATCAGATGATAACGCGTTCTCTTCGTATATTGCGCAGGGTCGTCCGTTTCGGTCTCTCCCTCTTTATGCTGGAGGCGATATGAGCAGCACGTGTGCCGTGTGCGGTCGTCGTACGTGGTGGCTCGTAGTAACGCGTACTGGAGCAAAAGAGAGAGAGAGAGAGAGAGAGAGAGACAGAGAAAGAGAGAGAGAGAGAGAGAGAGAGCGGGACATGTCGGCACGAGCGAGAATTACACTTGGAGTCGGTCCCTACCCGAATTATACGATTCACCTGGTTCCTATTTTACGACGTTTATATTACGCCGCAGCGCGGCGAATCTTGGCTCCCGACTTCGCCAACGGATGCGTTCGCGTCGGCTTTCCTTTGCCGCTCGTATCTGTTTTTTTTTTTTTTCCTTTTTTTTTTCTTTCTTTTTTTTTCTTTTTTTAATCTGTATTTTTGTTTTCGTCCTCCATTTTTCGTTTCCCTTTCTTTCCATCTTTTCCCCCTTTACTTCATACCCAGTTTCTCTCTCTCTCTCTCTCTTCTTTCTTTTTTTTTTCTTTTTTTTTTTTTTTTTTTTTTTTTTCTTCAACAAAACTCACGTTCTCCTCGTCCATCATCTTCTTACTTTATTATATTTTATCGCTTGGATGATGGTTAAAAGTGAGATATTCGAATCGATATTATATCATAGTAGGAAAAAGTAACGATCTCTGTTTCTAATTACCGAAGGGTAAGTAAAGGTTGGGTTTGGGGTAGGTAGAGGGAGAGAATGGATAAAACTGTAAGTTTGGGACTCGTGTTTGGTGGTCTTAAATTTCAAAATCTATGGAAAGGAAAAACTTTGTTTCGTCCTGCGTGAAAGTAATCGATGATATATTTCGGCCTCGTCGAACGAGAAAACGAAGAAGAAAGAGAAAGAGAGAGAGAGAGAGAGAGAGAGAAAGAGAAACAGAAAATAAAATAAAATAAAAACGAACGAGTCGCTCGCGAAAAGATCGCTCTTCTTAATGGCCGAGCATAAAAACCGGGAGTAATCTTTGATATATTAAAGTCATAAAGCGAGTTAGAATTATCGCGAAATTTGTTTCGATCGCGCCGAGATTACGGATAATGAAGAATGTAAGACGCAGTTTCTTGCTCCTCGTTCTTTCTTCCTTCGACAATTAATAGCCCCATAAATCGTGCGAAACGAAGATATCAAGATTCTACGGGCTTTCGGGTTACCTCTCTAAATTTATGCTTTTAAAACTCTTAAAAACAGGCTTACGGCAGCTGGGAAAAGATAGTAGACAGAGAGACAGACAGACAGAGAGAAAGATAGATAGAGAAAGAGAGAGAGAGGGAGAAAAGGAGGGGAAAGAGAAAAAGAAGAAACTGAGAGGAGAGATCCTTGCAAAGGAAACATCCGTGGACCCTTGAAGAACACATGTTTATTGCATCAAATGCATTTTCCACGATCTGTGTTCCCTTCAATTTATTCCAAATCATCTGTTCTATCTGATATTAGATTTATAATAATTCTAATATTCGTAATATCGTAAGAAAAAAAAAAACACATCGATACCATATTATTTAATAATAAGACAATGGAATGTTTGAAAAAGATCATATAGAATATAAAAATATTTGACAATCGTAGATCATTGTTGTTGAATGGTGAAGAAAAATAAAAATTAAAGGCGTAATTCTTGAGTTCGTGTTAGGAAAAAAAAAACAAAAAAACAGCATAGAAGAAAATGAGAGCGTGGGAGGGGGAGAAAGGGTGAAGAAGAAGAAGAAGAAAAAAAAAAAAAAGAAGGGAAGAAGAAGTATAAACCTATATGCAATTAAGAGAAATGGTTATTTCTAATAATAAATTTTTGGCGCTGATAGAAACGTTCGCTAATGCGCCGGAAACGTATATAGATTGTTGTTAATGGTAGTTATAAGGACGCATTAGCCTGATAAATAGTAATGGGGTTTATTGGCGAACAATCAGAAAATATGACGATCTTGGTTCTTCCCTTCGTATTCTTAACCCCTCATACTAGGAACAACGGCCACGAACGAACACGACGAGTCTACGTGCCGTTAGCTTTTTCCTTAGGGTCTTGCCAGCTGCCACCATAAGCGCGGATATATGGACCCCAAGTTTATTATATTTGCCGACCATAAGAAGGTCCCGCCGCTTAGTTTCTATGAGATACTGCCTTTCCTTTTCTCCCGTTGTCTTTTGCTCTCTCTCTCTCTCTCTCTCTCTCTCTCTCCTTCTTTCATTCTCTCTCTCTCTCTCTCTATCTATCTATCTTTCTCTCTTTCTCTTTCTATTTCAACAATATATCACTTCGATACGAGCGATTAACTACCACTTCAATGTGTTACTATCATTTTTTACCAATACAATTCACGATAACGTAAATACTACTTACTAGAGTTACGTATTAATCGGCCAGATACATAGATACATACATACATACATGCATACATGCATATGTACGTACGTATGTATAATTAGAATGTAGTATTAATAACGTTCGATAGCATTAAATCAATGATATACACTTTACTCGATATTTTCAATGCCTCTCTTTTTAATTCCGAGATAACAGATAATCTTTATTCGTCGTTCGTCGATATGAAAGGGAATATCGTGATGAAAAAAATGTAATAATCTTCGACATAATCACAATTTGCTGAAGCCGGTGGTGGTATGATGAAAGAAAAGAACAAAAAAAAAAAAAAAAAAAAAAAAAAAAGAAAAAAAGAAAAAGGAAAAAAAAATGAAAAAGAAGAAAACAAATAAAATGAAACGATATATAGGAAGGAAAGAAAAGAAGAAACAAATATATAAATAAATAAATAAAAGAAAAAATTTGGTAGAAGAAAAACAGCGATCTCATAAATAAAAGTAACATGGAAAGATTATGATTGTGAGCACGTTAGCTCTCTTTCTCTCTCTCTCTCTCTCTTTTTCTTTCTTTTTCGTTTTCCATCGTTTTTCATACGTCGGTAATTGCTTTACCGTCGGGAAAATGCAATTCCTCGGCTCTTCGATAAAAATCGAACAAATCTCTATGGGATGAAATTAAACGGAAAAAAAAGGGAGAGAGAGTATGAGAGAGAGAGAGAGATAGAGAAATAGAGAGGGTTGAGAGGAGTGAGAATAAGAGGGTGGAGATAGGTGACTTCACAATGGTGGCCGCGTGCGTGTGTGTCTCGCATTGGTGGTAGGCACCGTGCTTCCGCGTGCTTCAAACTGCGGGGTGTGAACACCCGATAAAAAATAGAGAACAAGGGGTCGGTAAAGAGAAAGAGGGAATCAGAGTATGAACGGGAGGAAAGAGGAGAGAGAGAGAAAGATATATATATATATATATATATATATATATATATATATACATATATATAGAAAGAGTAAGAGAGAGAGAGAGAGAGAGAGAGAGAGAACGATAGAAGGGAACGTGCAGCGATTAACGAGAAACGAATACACAATACCTTTTCCCAAACGGCTCGACATGAGCTGCACACTTGTTGCTTATCTGTGACTCTCTCACTCTCTCTCTCTCTCTATCTCTGTCTGTCTATCTGTCTGTCTGTCTGTCTGTCTGTCTGTCTGTCTGTCTGTCTGTCTGTCTGTCTGTCTGTCTGTCTGTCTCTCTCTCTCTCTCTCTTTCTCTTCCATTTAACTAATTCTCTCCTTCGGTCGTAGACATGTCGGTTAACACGTTAGCATAATATGTTTAACATGGTAGATAGCTACTTATCGGACGGCTATGTTTGTCTTACACCATATATAATCAACCGGTCGTAAAATCCAGACGAGAAGTGTCACGACATTCTATAAATTAAAAGTATCTTATTAAAAATGCACACACATTCCGTGGACACACCGGATACCATTCTTCTCGTTTCTCTCACCTCACTTCTTCTCTTTCTCACTTTCGTCCTTTTTGCTTTCTTATCGGCGTTTGATAAAACTCCGAGACTCCGATACGGTTGCATCATCCATCCTACAGTGTAGGATCGAGCGTTTGATTTCAACTTACCGCGATGCGATATGATGAAAAAAAAAAGAAAAAAAAAAGAAGAAAAAGAAAAAGGAAAGAGAAAAAAAAGAAAAGATGAAGAAGAAAATGGAGAGACAGAGTGATAATAAAAAAACGTTCAAGCGGGTAAGTGACCTTCTCACCTCCCTCCCTCCATCCCACCATCCACCGGGAATACTTTCAAAGATCTTAACAACGTTAGATTACGTACTCGTGATATTTATTTTCTTCTTTCATTCCATAGGGATAATTATTATTCTCAAATCCCTTGATCTATCTCGTTTGTTCGTCTTCCATTTGATGCTTTCTCTTCCTTCCCATTTGAATTAATGGAAAATATGAAAATGTTTATTAAGAAAGGAAAGGAAAAGGAAAAGGAAAAAAGAAACTAATAACAACCAACAACAACAACAACAACAACAACAACAACAACAACAAAGA